GTTTAGATGAACAAATTGAGTCAATTTCTCGCATAACGAATGCACTGAAATATGTCAAGTCCTCTACTTCTAGATTTGCCTCTTTCAAGTCATATGTTGAGAAGGCTAAGCTAGACACTCATGGTGTCTTAAGTCTTGATGTTGAAACAAGGTGGAATTCTACATATACGATGTTAGAAACTGCTGTAAATTTTGAAAAGGCCTTTGCAAGAATGTACGTGGATGATCATAACTATTGAAAGTATTGTCTTCAAAGTGAATTGAAAGGACATCCAACTACAAATGATTGGCATCTTGTGAAAGGTTTTATAAAGTTTCTTAAAATCTTCTATCAGTCTACTTTAAAATTTTCAGGGAGCTTATATGTTACTTCAAATTTATTCTTCCATGGATTTTTTAATGTTCGAAGTTCTATACTGAAGTACTCTTGTAGTGAAGATCTTATTTTGATTGACATGGCTAGAAGGATGAAGGTTAAGTTTGAAAATATTGGGAGAATATTGAGAAACCAGAGAATTTGAACATGTTGTTGTTCATTGCTATTGTGTTGGATCCTAGGTATAAGATGCGATATGTCATTTTTATTCTTAGAAAATCATATGGCTCTTTACTGAGAAAATTAAAGGCAGATAATGTGGAAGGTGTCTTGAAACGCTTGTATAATCACTATAATAATTCTTCGACTGGAACTTTTACTGATAATATTGGAGGTGACACTAACATGATGGGTGAAGTTGATGATATATTGCATTATCAATGGGAGAAACATTTAGAAGAGGAGGAAAATACTGATTTTTTTTTTGAGTTTGATCAATATTTGATGGATAATGTAGAGAAGCCAAAAGATTTTAATATCTTGACTTGGTGGAAAGCTTCATCAAATAGATATCCAACTATTTCAAAAATGGCAAGGGATGTTCTTTCTATCCCTGTGTCCACTGTTGCATCTGAATCAACTTTCAGTACAGGTGGTCGTATTCTTGATTCATATCGGAGTTCTTTATCACCAAAGACAGTAGAAGCTCTTATTTACACTCAACAATGGATACGGTCACCTTCTAAAGAATGAAAGGTTCAAGATTATTTGGAGGAAGTTCAGAAAATTGAAGAAGTTGAAAAAGGTAATTTACTAATTTAATTCTTAATTTTCCATTTTTGCTATTAATTTTCTAATTTGAAAACAACTTTATGCTAGTTGCTATCTAACAAAGTTTGAGTTGAAAAGTGATTCAATATCTAATTACTCATTTATGTGCTAATAATTCTTTTCCTTCCAGAATGTCCATGTGATCCTTTGAGTATCGATTAATTTAATGAAATAGCTTTTTGCAATTCTAGTGATATATAGGTATTTCCTTCCCTTTCATTGAAATAGCGTTTTACATTTCTTTATTATCTAACAAAGTTAATTTTACAAGTCTAGTTACTCGTTCACGTGCTGATAATTTTCTTTCTTTCAGAATGTATGTCTAGGTGACCTTTTGAGTATATATTAGTTTAGATGAAGAAACTATGCAGCTGCATCATGGTGGTTGAAGATTATTGGAGTAGCTTAGTAGTTCTGTTGTTGGGTTTCTAAGAGGATTTTTTACAAACATGATGTGAACTGTTATGCTTTTAATTTTCAATGTTAAATAGGCTTATTTTTTATAAGAAATTTGCTCCTGCTGATCATGTGAGGATCTTGATACTCAAAACTTGTAGAAATAGATTGAAATGAAATGGTTATTGAATAGTTGTCAGGATGTTGGGTTATGGAGGTACAAAGCTTTGTTCATTTGTACACTCCTAAGTCCTAATAAAGATATTGCAGATGGGTAGATAAACATACTGCTACATTGAGTGCAGGTCATATACAATGATAGTTATCCAAATGTAGAAAAAGCCAATTCCCTGTACTAAAACACCTCCAGCTTGTACAAAATAAAGATGGATAGATGAATATTGACTTCTCCTATTGTAAAACTTAAATATTCTTTAAAAAATCGAGAAAACCGAAAGAATAGACTAAAACCAAAACCGAAAGAACCAATTTTATATTGGTTTGATTTGGTTTATTAATTTAATAAATCGACATAATTGGTTTGATTTTTTAAAATAAAATACCAAACCAACCCGACCTATGTACACCCCTAGTTCTAACAATGGATTTAGGGAAGAAGAGAAATAACCGTTTCTTTTAACATTGGGGGAGTTAAATGCATAGATTAGATGGTAGAAAAAAGGAATCACGCTCCCCTTTTGGGTGACTCACAAATGTTTTTCCATGTAGGCAAAAAATGCTTAAACGATTCAAATCTTGATTGGTAGAGGTGTTCAATAGGTACTAGCCCTAGTTGAGGTATCTCAATGAGTTATGCGGACAACTTTAAGGGGCTGCAGATGACTTAAGCCATGTTTAAATCCTTAATGATACCATAAAAATATATTTATATACTGTTATGGTATCGTCAAAGTTTGCTTCAGTTATCAATGATACTATGACAATATGTATTGTGAGGTATCCTTCATGTTTGCTCTAGTCCTTTTGTGAGACACTCTTCAATCCTTCGTTATACTATAACAATATCTTTATATTGACATGGTATAATTGAGGTCTCCTTCAATCCTTCAGTTATCAATGATACTATGACAATATATTTTGTGAGGTATCTTTTATGTTTGCTCCAGTCCTTTTGTGAGACACTCTTCAATCCTTCGTTATACTATAACAATATCTTTATATTGACATGGTATGATTGAGGTCTCCTTCAATCCATCAGAGTGTTATAGTATATCTATATATTGTCACGATATCATTGAGGTCTACTCTAGTCCTATAGTAAGATTTCTCAATCCTCAATACCATTATAGTATATCTATATACTGCATGGTATCATTGATGTATATTTTATTCCTTTGACGATAGATGTCTTAGTCTTCCAAGATACCGTATATCATGGTAACCTTCCGATCTTCTTTAATTCTCTAGTGAGACACTTCTTGATCTTTCATGATATCATCACATTATATCTTTATACCGGCATATTATCATTCATGGCTACTCTGATCATTCAGTAAACCACTTCTGTAGTGTTTCTCTAATTATTTCTTATTATAGTCTTAGTTATTTAATTATCTTTTTAATCTAAAAGTAATTAGTTAATATTTTTCTATATTTTAGAAAAAGACAAAAATATAGAAAAAAAACAAAAAAAATAAATATAAACTAACTTAACCAGAAGGAAAAGATAATTAAAAAAATATTACTAGTGATATATTTAATAAGGTATAAAAATAATAAATGACAAAATGACAAAATCAATAATTGTAATGACAAAAAAACAATAAAGGAAAGGATAAAAGAAGAAGAAGAAGAAAGGAGCACTGCTTTAGTGAGCAAACTAACGGGTATTTGGGTAAATATTTTCTATTGTAGAGGTATTAACAAAATTAATACTCCCTCTGTCTACTTTTATTTGTCATGTAAGGTTTTTTAAAAGTTAATTTGACAAATTTTTAAAGTTAAATTAGATCATATTAATTTGATATTTTAAAAATAAAATTAGATATTCAAAAACTATACGAAAAGTATATTGCATATCAATATGATGAAAAAATACATCGTAAAATATTAGTTAAAGTTTTTATAATTTAACTCTAAAAATAGGAAATTATGATAATTAAAAGTGGACAGATGTAGTAAGATGGATAAATCAAAATAATTAGTTTACTTTTAGGATGTAGTTTGTATAGTTTTCCCAGATCTAGACCACTATGTTGCAATTTATATTTATGAGCTGTATTGTGATAAAATTGTTGGCTTGTGAGGGTTGGTCCTCCTAGATAATACATGCAATTGTAGCAAAAGCACTTGTGATTTGTGAACGAGGAGAGGCATAGTTTTGTGATGAAAACAAACTACACTTTGTTTGGATTACATATTGTTTTATAATGTATCATATTATATTATTTTAATTTAATGAATCTATAGTGTTTGAATAGATTATATGTTCTCTGTTGTTACATAATATCATACATCCATAATTTAAATGATAAACCTACAAGAAAATTAGAATACGAGATAGAGTTACTGTGAAAAAGTAGGATAAAAGATGAAATATATTATTAAATAATAAATAAAAACAAAAATGAAAAGAAAATATTAAAATAACAACGCCATCACACTAAATCAGTCCTAACATAAAATGAGTCTTTTTGTAGTTATCTAAATATGAATTTAAACCATACAATACAATCGAATTTAAGTAAAAACAAACATTTCATTTAAACTAACGATACAATACAATACAACAAGTAACAACCGTCCAAACAAACGTTTTTTTTTCTTTTTATTAATAAAAAGGAACATTACAGATGGAATAAAAAACAATTGACCGCAATGAATCAAAGTTTGGGACTTTTTCAAACTTCAATACGGAAATAATCAATTCTGAAAATTGTCGATCCAACAATAGTTGTCTACTATTAATTTGACACAAAAATTAAAAAGCCTTAAATAATGAGGATAATTTTACCAAATCACCCCTCTAAATATAAATCATCTAAACGTTGAAAAATGAATACTCCCTCCATTCCATATTAATTGAATTGTTGAGACATTTTTCATTTTTCAAATTAACTTAATTGTTTACTTTTCAAGACTACATTTAGAGTGTTCTTCCAATTTTACCCCTTCATTAGTTAGTATTGGAATTAGTGATAAATTAATATTTAGTTATTTTAATCATAAATTTGACAATAATTAATAAGGGTAAAAATGGAAAACTATATTCAATTTATGTCTTAATTTATTTTTCTTAAAGGGTGTTAAACACCTCAAAAATTCAATTAATATGGAATGGAGGGAGTAACTTTTAATAGCAAAGGGTAAAATAGATAGAAAATAATAAATTATTTATTGATTTTATAAATGAGAAAAGTATTGTTAGTGGACGAGTAAAGATGGACGGAAAGAGTAGATAGTTCATTAATGGCCGGTCCGAAGATTGACATAAAACTAAAAGTGAACAAAATTCTCCGCCTTGTGATGTTTGACGGCATACTCTAAATCACAAAGTGTGATTTATGGCAACTGCCGTCCATTGTTGTGGTCAGTTTATAGAGAATGTGATATAAATTCTCACTTTTTTCTTCTCCGACTAAATCAATAGTTAATGTTCGTTTGAGGTGACCTCCAACAAATTAGTCAATTTTGCTTTTTCTGTAGCATTTATTTAACATACAGAGAGTAATGTATGATACACGTTTATAATATGTACAATTATGCCTTTTCTGCGTGTTGTTTACCAAACTATTAGAGGTTCCACCACTTGCGTTTCTCCATGGCTTTGACAAGCTCACCTGCAAGATCCGCAAAGTTCTCCGCACCATTTTGTAATTCTTCAGTGTTTCTACTGAGCCTCTGGTAAACACAGTTACAACAAAGTATGTGGGACACGTATCAGAATTTCAACTCAACATCATTGTTATTAGGCAGATTTTACTAGAAAAAGACCATAGAAAGATAAAGCCGGGTTCAACGTTCAACGTTCACTAAACTAATTTCTACTGACATATCACTAATTAAATTTATTTCATTTCCATCAAATAATAACAAACTTGCGACATATGGGGAGGGGCGAATTATTCATGATGTTCAGTCAACCCACTGAAGTTTCTGGCTTAACACCATGCACTCAAGAAGTCCATTGTCCAATTTAAATTAAGAAAAAGATTGGTGTGATCTAAAACAATATCACAAACTACGCCTCATCAAGGTCTTCTAAATTAGAGCCAGGTATCTTTTAAGTACAAAAATGTCTTTCCAAGGAGGTAAAGTGATGATACTAGACTTTAGGAGGCGAGAATTCAGCTCATTGTAACCAACTACAGGTGTCTAGGTTCATGGCAAAAAATGCATATGCATATTGCAGGAGGTAGTTAACATAAACTTGCTTTAAATAGACATACATCAAGTTTCTCCTGACGCTCGAGAAGCTTATCTTTTGCCTGTAATGCAGCAGAGGCCGCATCCTACAAGTTATAAGCAAGTTAGTAAATAAAGATGCCCAAATGCAGTTATTCAACGTGAGATATATTTGTAGGATAATATTACCCCCTTGTTTCTATATTTAGCAATGATTTCTTCACGAGTTCTAGCTGTTGGCTTGGCATCACTAGAACCACCTTCCAACAACCTGTCTCTATTGGTTTCCTTTTCTGGATGAGTGGAATAAAACGACAAATTCATCAAGGAAAGAAGAAGGAAATAAGATTCTATTTACTGTATAGCATGAAAAAACACCTATTTTGACATCATCACTGCTGAGAGATGACGAAGCAACATGAACAGGTTCATCAATTTCAATATCATCTGCAATGGAAGAACTCAGGCAGTTGAGGGAAAATCTGTACTAGTGGACCATAATCATTTTCAAGAATGGGCATAGTAGGGACAGGGAAAAATACCTAACTTCAGTTCCAGGCTTCCAAGGTCATCTGTTACATCTGTAGGGTCTGAGAAAGGAAATCTCGAGAATATGTTTTCCAGATGAGAAACAAGAGCATCTCGAGCATTCACAGAATCAGCAGCCTGCTGTCCTTTAAGCCCTTTCAACCCTTTCACGATGCCACCAAAAATACTGGTGGTAACATTCTAGAAAAAGCAGAAAATGACCTTCCATAAGAGGTCTATCAAAAGACAGAGAATGGGAACCTGGTAGCATATTGTACGAACCTGTTTCTTCTTTTGATGTTGGGATGCACTGACATCATCTACAGCAGTTGCGAGAGATTTCTTATAAAGTGAAGGTAAGGCATCCAGAACCCTGTAAAAGGTCATTGTCATCCTTTGTGTCATGGACAGAAAGCTCATGAATGTGTGGGGAAACTCTTCTGATCTTACCCTGGGCTTCAGCCCGAGTATTTTAGGAATGGGGATTGCATGCAAGACAGAATATAATCAGGGTGACAGACCTGAAGTCATTTCCAAAGGCCAACAGTGAAATGACAGCAAATTCAGACCCATTCACCTACAAATTGTAAGAACATTTTGCAAAAATATTAGTGTAAATAAAGAAAACACAATCAAGAGTGAAGTCAATACTGAGCCCTTAGCAGCCTATCATAACCCCTTAGATTGTACCAAGTTATCCTGCCTTGTTCTTCCAAGATCGTTTCTAATTGCTTGACACCTTGAAACATTGTCATAGACTGTTAACTAGTTGTAATTGTCGGGAAAATATTTACAACCACCATAAACTGAGTAAAAGCATTATGGTGAGAATCAGATGTTGTCCCAACTCCTAACGATAATCTAGAACGTGGGAAGGGAAAGCAGCTGTTATCAGTTCTATTGGTTTCAACATAACATAGAGGTCCACTATACTAATGAAATGTTATGGACAACAGCATAGTTCCTAATGTAAATGGCAAGCAGTATCAAGAGTAAAACAAGTAGTCAGTTGAAAAAATACCAACCAGTGAAATCATCGCTTTACCAGGAGAACTTATGATCTTATCCACGTTTATCTTGGAATTCCATCGAAGAATAGGCATTAATGAGGATTCTCCCAAGACAGCAAGATCCACCAAGGACCTGGCAAGAGATTGGATAGATTAACCATACATTCTTGTTTGTTTTTCTGAGAAAGAGATTAAGCATACAGTTTCCACAAACATACATCAAATACTCGAACAATAACAAATGAATCTCAAAATAATTGGTAATCTCAAGAAAAAATAAAATCCATCACCAAAAGAGTACAATTGGAACATGTCTGTAATACAGTAATGTTCATCTCACTGCTAAAGGTATGCATGAGAAGAGTACGATAGTAAAGAAAGATGCAAATAAAAAAATGTTACCTTACTTCAACTGCTCCATTCTGATACACTAAAACCAGTCCAAAATTTTCAATGTCATTCTTAAGAATGGAAGTCCTAGAACACGGTTTAGCAAGTTTCACTTCATGTATAGGGTTGATATCGCCCTATAATTACATAATCTGTTACAAACTGGTGAATTTAGGAGAATAACAGGAAATGCTGCAGTAGTGAATGGTAAAAGAAAGGCACCTGAATTATAGAACTTAAGGAGAATAAATGCAAGCCCTCCTGACAACAAAGTAAAATTTGTGAATCAATACACTTCTGCATCAAATCTTCAGGCTGCACGGCGCTGTCTTGCGTTGAAGAATGCTTTTGCGATTCTTCAGAGACAGATGTAATGCCATCTACAGACAACAAAAAAAGTTCCGTAAGAAGCTAATAACTTTCGTTATTGTTAATAGAAAATTATATGAACATAGTGACATTTTTCCTTTTCATAAATGTTTTCATTCAGAGCTAACATAAATTGATTAAAAATGAAAAAGTCATGCTTGCCTAAAATATATAGAGATATAGCAGTTGACATCTCCTTTGGATGTTTTGCCTGGGAGCTAATTTTTTTGCCAGTGGAGCCATCAAGCAATACTACTTCTGCATCTCTGTTTAATACTGAAATAACCTCCTTCACACATGCATTTCTTGTTCCCTCTTCACTTTGTTCCACAGTGTCTTCAAGAGCATTACCCAATGTTTTCACAGCCACAGAAGTGATTTTGGAACTTGAGCTGGATGAACAATCCGTAATGAACAAAACTGATGATGAACTAACATCAAGCATGGCAACCTGACAGGACAACAGAAACATAAACATCTGATAGATTTCCAAAAGTATCTGCCACAACAATTAGTAATGATCACGTCTGGATTGATCTTACCTGGCCACTTTCAAAACCTGCAACAAGCCTGGCACCCACAGCTACAAATTTTAGGATGCATACTGGAGATTTTATGAGGGAAAACTGAAATCCAGTATCACCTGGACAGAAGTGAGCTGAAAACAAACTACATAGGGATCACCATAATGATGCAGAACAAGATGGTATGTGTGTAAGAGTGAAAATATGTAATGGCAAGGAACTTGATGGAAGACATAAAACCTGTTTCTTCTTTCATTAGGTTAGCTACCAGTACAGAACTAGTAATGACATGAAATATGTAATCCAACTGCCAAGGTGTATTGTCCGTTTTGGCCCAACCTTTTGGGCTTCAAAGTTTTGTCCCTCGGGCTTTAACCTAAAAGGCGCCTCACCAATTAAATTCCTGAACCACCTTATATGGCCCCTAACTTTCCCTCCTGTTTTGATGTGGGATTTTCCTAAGGCATGTTTCACAGAGAACCCTCTCGAGTTCAACCGCCCAGAGCCTGTGGGCTGTTACAATTTAGTTTAATATCACGAAAAACAAATTTACTCCTCTTGCTACTCCTTTCTGATCACTTTTCAATAACACACTTGCGTCTAAATACTCCTATACAAGAGCTCCTTTATGCTGAGTTTAACCATTAAGGAAAACATTTTTTCTCCCGTCATGCCTCTCCTCTCCAATCAATTGTCAATACCACCTAGCGCAATCAGAACTTAATGTAAACAGAACGGTGATGATTGTTGTCCTGGAGGCTCCTAAGTCCTATTAAATGCTGAACTATTTTCAGACTTCCAGTCATGTCAAGCCAGTATCCATCTATCGTTTAGAAGAATATTTCAAAATAACATAAGTTACTGAAAAGGTTAAGAACATAAAGGCATACCGTCCTGTTCAGCATCTGTAGCCAAGTTGGAGCTAGTTGTCTTAGACTTCCCCTTGAGGCTATACATATGCACCTACACAAACCAAAAGTATCAGCAAGTTATGCACAGCTGGTGTTACCAGATTCTCAAAGATGTAGCCATTGAAAACATGATGGGTCTTACCTGGCCACATTGGTGGCCAATGGCAAGTGTTAAAGCAGTAGAGGAGAAGTCCAAAGCGGATATTGCTGTTCTAGGACCAGTGTCTTGAATTCCCTTCACCCCAACATCATACTTTTGACATGTAAGCTCATGGCAATGAAACTAGAGATTATTTTTATTACTAAATAGGTGAATATGAGAACACATCAAGGCAGTATCTTATCAGTTAAGAGTCAAATAAATGCAAAACGCAAAGACCTGAGATTCCAGAACAGCTAAAAGTGTAAAGACTGGAAATGTTGCATTCCACAGACGGACAGATCCATCCAAATAGCCAGCAACAAGTATTCTCTCTATTCCATCATCCTTGGTAGGTTGTCTGGGAATACTACTTGGAGGCATTTTGATTTCCAATTCAGTCACACCATGAGCTGGACGGATTTGCGCAACCATAACTTCCTAAGGAAACAACTAATACTAGTTGAAGAAGATTACTAAAACACACAATAATGATTTTGTATTGAACGATTTAAATTACAAAGCATCTAGTACCTCTGAAGGAGTCCTTGAGGAATTCCATTTCCTATCCACTGGATATAGGTATGCCACAGTTATACGTGGTTCAAGGGTAGGTACAAGTGTAGGATACTTAACAGCAAAATCTGCATGCTTCTTCTCTGGGTTAGATTTTAAAGCAGACAAGCTGGCCTTGTCATAAAAGTGCAGTTTCCCTGGATTTGACAACACAAACAAGGAAGAAGCATCATCAATTCCTGTTTCATTAGCATTTGAAACAACAATGGCATCTGCAAAAGATCCATCAAGTCCAAGGTCTACTCGACCAACACATTTCAATGCTTTTATCCCGGAGGACCAATCAAGATTCAGAACCTGCCTAACACAAGCAGAAGAAAATGAAAAAAATTGGCATAAGTGTAGGCACACATCAAACTAGATACCACAAAAAAATCATATATCTCTTCTTTTTTGTTTGATAAGGTAAACAATTTTATTAATATTGGGGAAATCCCTGTATACAAGCAGTATACCAAAAAGTAGAAAACCTAGGAAGAAATATGGTTCTACAAGAATGCAGCAAAGCTTAAAAATTCCATATGATTCAATGTATTGGTTATGGTGTGGAAACTATTGGATTTTTAATATTTCCCACATTCTTGTATTGTTGTTCTTCTTATTTAACCAAGTTAACATGCTAATTAACCAAAATTAACAATTAACTAAGATAACCACGCAAGTTTGTAGAATGTAAATTTAAACCATGCGATGATGTGATGAAATTAACAAGTTGGGTCATAGCCTAATCCCCCACCACAATGGTTTCCTTTTGAATTAAAAAAATAACAATGAGATGATGTTCTCTTTGCTGATTAAAAAAAGGTACATGCCATGATATTCCCTTTAGCTAACAAACTTAGTGTCAAGTGTGTGACACCTCATCTAAAAGCTTAAGTTGTTAAGTGAGCACATGAATTGTACTGAAACCAAATTTACAATTGTACTCCAGAAGCTAAACTGATCTACCTCTATATTGACTCTAGAACATCAAAAATGTTTACTCCAAAAACATAATAGCAAAAGACAATTCAATTTGATCTTCTGCAAACTTTTCTCTGTATTTTGAAAACATCTTGAATTCCTCTCCTTCTAGATTGTCCACCTGATGCAAGTAGGGACAATTCTCCATCTACTTTTGTTCTTTTCCATGGATCCTGTTTCCTCCCAAATCTGTAAAGCTTCCATAATCTTTCCAGGCATGATCCAGGATATGCCTTTAAAGTTAAAGAAAATTCTCCACAGCTGTTCTGTCACTTTGCAATAAAGGAACAGAGGGCTAACAGTCTCTGCTTTAACTCCACACAGAAAGCATCTGGAACACATTGTGATCTTTTTCTTTTTTTTTGATGACAAGGGAAACCCGCAACCGCTACCCTTTGGGTGCGCACAGGGTAAAACCCCCGCTCCTATGCAATAGCTCGCAAACCACATAGGAGAGGTAACCCGCACTAGGCAAGCCTGGTGCGACGAGCTCGACCCAAAAGGCAAACCCCTTGCCAGAGGCAAGGGGTTTCGAACTTGAGACCTCCAACATGGAAGTCCCAAGCCCAAACCACTGGGCCACCCCGAAGGGTAACACATTGTGATCTTTCTTTTTATTAGATTGTCCTGGGTGAGGACAGCTTCCTTAGCCAAGAGCCACACAAAACAAGCTACTTTGTGTGGGATACTAGTTCTCCAAATATGTTTCCAAGTCAATTATCAATCTGCCGATTAGACTGATTAATCATCCTATACGCTACATTCACCTTGAATTCACCACTAGTGATACCTTGCCACCTCAATACATCTTTCCTTGCCTGTAACCCACTAAATTGTGCAAGAGTGCTATAAAATTCAGTTACCCTGTCCATTTCCCAATCATTGGGTAATTTTCTGAAAGTGATATCCCAAACCAAACCTTGAGGTGTCCAAAATTCTACTATAATCTTCTGTTGGTGAAGTACCAAATTGAATATGTCTGGACCGTGTGATTTTAGAATCCCTATTTCATGCCAGTTGTCGTCCCAGAAGTTAGTTTAGCTACCATTATAAACTTTGATCTTTGTTTTGCTCTTTAAGTCACTCCAAGAAGGTCCCGATGGACGTCCATACATTAACCCCATATAGTGTATCAACCTCCTTGGTCATCCATTTGTCTTCCTCCTCATATTTTGCATTTATAACTTTACTCCACAAAGACTGATTCTCATTGCAAGTCTGCACAACCATTCATCTTCAAAGATTTATTGTGAAACTTTAAATTCATGATTCCCAGACCCCCAAATTTATTTGCAAAAGAAAGAGCTTTCCATTTTACTAAAAGAAAACCTTTCTTTTCTTTGTTACCTTGCCAAAGGAAACCTCTCCAAATACTGTCCAACCTTCTAATAACCCTGCTCGGATTGAAAATAGAGACATCATGTATGTAGGAAGAACATCTAGGACTGAGTGAATGAGTGTCAACCTACCACCCAAAGATAAGTATTGAGTTTTCCATCTGACCAATTACTTCTCACATTTTTCATTAACAGTGTCCCAAATTCCTTTGGATTTAGATTTTGCTCCCAGTGGCAATCTTAGTTGAGTAGTTGGTAATGTACCCATTTTTCCACCTAGAATTGCATTTAGCTGGGCAATCTCTGTTGGGAAAAAGCAAGTTTTTCCTCTGATCGATGTGTAAACCAGACACCCCTTCAAATAAACCAAGATCACCCTCAAATATATCAGTTGATCTTCTTTTGCATCACATTAAATCAAAATATCATCAACATATTGGAGATGAGTCATTTCCATACTGCCCCTATCAACTGTAGTCACTTCAAAACCTCTAATTCACCCATTGCTAAGTTATTTTAATCATATTATTGAGACCTTCCATAACCAATAGGAACAAAAAGGGGGTCAGCGGATCTCCCAGCCTGAGACCTCTTTGTTAACTAAAGAACCCAGCAGAGAGAGCCATATAGCAGTACGGAAAAATTGACAGTTGTGATGCAATGCTTGATCCAACGAATCCATTTATGTCCAAAACCCATCCTTCCCATTAATTTCATAAAAAAAGCCCAATTAACATGATCATATACTTTCTCATTGTCTAACTTGCATAGAATACCAGGCTTCTGCTAGCATAAGTCTAGAATCCACAGCTTCATTTGCCACTAGCACAATATCCATGATTTTTCTTTCTTTGATGAAAGCCATTTGCTGACAATCTATAATCTTCCTGATAACACTTTAGTTATTAGCCTGTAGAAACTGCCTATCAAGATGATAGGCCTGAAATCCCTCAATTCCTTCGCGCCTTTCTTCTTAGGAATCAATGCAATAAAGGTATACTTCTTGTTCATGGAAGTTCTTAATAGCATTCACTACATCATGTTTCAACACTTCCCGGTGTTTTATGAAGAAAACCATTGTAAAACCGTCTGGTCCAGGTGCTTTATCAGCTGCATACAACTTCAAACATTTCAAAAACTTCTTGTTCCTGTCTTGTAGAAGCTCCCTGTCTTCCTCTGAGATGACAGGGCATCTTTCAAAATGACAGGAAGGTCTTCATTCATCCTTTTCTGAACACAGGTGCTGATAGAAATCAATGATTTCCCCCTTCAGTTCTCACTGCATTTTTAATTGATTCTCCTTGGACTAGCAGTTGATCAATATTGTTGTACCTCTTATGTGCATTAGCCATCTTGTGAAAGAACTTAGTGTTCATGTCTCCTTCTTTAAGCCATAGAGTCCTAGACTTCTGTCTCCATGAAATCTCTTCATTCTTGACAAGTTCCTCATACTCCATATATGTTGCGGTCTATTTCATTATTTCCTCATCGGTTACGGCTCTGTCACCAAGTACTGAGTCTAGCTCTCCCATCTGTCCCAACAATTTCTTTCTTTGTGAATTCAGGTTTCCTTGCTCAGTCTTTCTCCATTTCTTCAGCGTTGACTTAAGAGCTCTCAGTTTGCAAGCTAGAATGTAGTCAGGCCTCTCAATAAAGTAAAAGAGTTCCATCAGTCACTAACTCTATCATTAAATCCTTCAGTTCTCAACCACCAGTTTTCAAACTTGAAGTAATTCTTGTTGTGGACCCAACAACCACATTGTACGACTACTGGGAAGTAATCAGATATTATTCTCTAGAGAAGGGAGTGCTTATGTCACTGAAGTTGTCATCCCATTCTTTTGCAATGAATCCTGTCAATTCTTGAGGCTGTCTCATGATTATCCCTTTGAACTAAGTGAAATTTCCACCCTCAAGCTGGGTGTCAATTAGGTTCATATCTTCAATGAAGTAACCGTACCTCTCGTTCTTCTATTACAATTTCTTTTCTGTGAGCTAAATCTGGTGACATTAAAGTCCCCACAAACTTCCATCAGTCCCTTTACAAACTCAATCTCATCCCACACTCTCCTCTTGTTCTTCTTGATGATGCCTATTATATAAAATGTCTTACTTCATCCAAAAATAAAATAAAAAAATTCCAGGTTGAACTATGATTTCTTCCAATTCCAGTGACCTTGGAAAATCTTCTCAACCATGAATTTATTTGGAAACTCAAAAAGAAATAAGCCTCCATACAGACATATATACTCAGCCCGAAAGTAGATTTCCAGTTGGCTGCTGTCCATCTCCTCATGTCAGCTAAGGTGGGTTTCTCTTCAGTGTCCTTTCCAACATGCCCAACTAAGCATTTTTTGAGCAAATCATCTCTTTAGACTCAAAGCTACTAGCTTTAATGGTGATGTTTCCCTTTATTAACGGATAATATTTGTTAGCCTTTAGTTCAGGAGTTTGTTATTATTTCATATTTTCTAGCTATCTGCTCTCCGTATTCTAGTAATTTTGTTCATTTAGGACTTTCTATAGTTTCCTGTATTTTAGTTGCACTGTATCTTATCAGATTACAATGTATCTTTGGATTAGTATTTCCGTGTTGTAGCTGCTCTATACAAGGAGAACGTTGCTCATGAATAAAATCATCGCTCTCTTCTACTTTTCAAACCTTTATATGGTATCAAGAGCTTTTTTTCTCCTCACAAAGTTCTAAGTTTCTTATTACCCTCCCACCACACATGGCACCCTCCATTACCAATTCTGATGCAACCAACACCACCACCATTGTTCAATTCAACTCAGTTACCCAACTTCCAATTAGACTTGCTGGCAGCCATAACTTCTTTCTATGGAAGGAACAAGTATCCACGTTCATGAGAGGACAAAATCTTTATGGACATCTAGATGGAACTATCCCATTCCCTGCTCCTGTCGATACCACCACCAAAAACAACCAGACAATTGCTAACCCCGATTATGTTAATTGGTTTTGGCAGGACCAAT